GAACAAGCTGGAGGCGACCCAGTGATGACTGAGGTGCACCAACATACAGAGCGTTACGAGAATCAAGTCTTGAAGTGATAAAAGCATGAACAGCCTTCTCCACATCACAACGGTTTAAAAAGAGTTTGACCTTTTTTAAAAGACGTAAATGATCAAATCCAGACCGGACAACAGAAGCAATATGTTTGTCAAAGTGTAAASCCTTATCAAAGGTTTTTCACACAGTCACTGAAGTTAATATTCAAACTTCCTAGGCCAGTTGCAGCTTTGTCACCAAATAAAATCCATTCTGTKTTACTGTYGTTTAAAAACAGGAAGTTCTTGTTTAGCCAATGTTTGATTTCAGAGAYGCAGTCGAAGAGAGAAAGCAATGGATTACTAGATCCTGGCCTTAATGGTAGATAAATTAGCAAATCATCTGCATAAAAATKAAATTTGACATTATGGCGGCTTATAATATATYCAAGTAACAACATRTATAAGGAGAAGAGCAGAGGGCCCAAAATGGAACCTTGGGGCACCCCACACAGAAGAGGGGCTGTAGAGGAGGAGCAGCCATTGAGCAGGATAGAGAAGGTTCTGTCAGATAAATAAGACGTGAACCACTTCAAAGTTGTGCCATGGATCCCAACAAAGTAAGAAGGCRAGACAACAGRACAGAGTGGTTTTGGATTAACTGTTTTCTGTAGGATCTAAATAARCTGAAGCAGACTGATGTTCCACAGGTACACCTCCAGACCTCAGGATAAGAGCATCTTTGCTGTCTTACTGGACTGGCCTGATCAGGGGTCAGTGRCTCTGAGTGAACCAGTGGTTACAAAGAATGTCACCCAGGTAAGACCAGACCCAGACTTACTTCACATCCTGTAGGGCCAGCTTTAATGATTCTAATATGCATGAAATCTTGGTATGTTGTTTTATAATCTGCATCATGTTATGTATGAAGGTCATAAGGCTTCCTGTACAGTCTTCAAAATGATGGAAACCACTTTTAGTGAGGTGGTAGAGGATGAAAACCATTTCTTTCCAGGCTCAGATGATGCCAGTATGGACTCAGTATTTTAGTTTATATTAATAAGACTAAGTTGATCTTACTGTTTCTTTAGCCACATTTTATTGAAAATAATTTATTATTCTATAATTGACTGTTTGATTTGAGGATGTAGATGAAGTACAGGGAGGGTAAAAACCCCTTCATTGTGTCTTTGTGGACTGCACCAAGGATCAGATCAGGGTGGAGCCTTTATTGTTTGCTCTGGTGATGGACAGACCAACAGATGAGGTCACACAGGAATCCTCCAGGACTCTGATGTTTGTAGATGAACTACAGTGAGAACAGTGCACAGGTGAATGAAAGGGGATCAGGTGGAACAGTGACGCTACAAGGAGCAGAGGTCTTAAAGCTGCAGGACTTCACAGACTCAGGGTCCACTGTCCATGAAAACAGAGAGTGGTGAAGAAGAGAAGACAGGGACAGGGAGGGACAAAATGAATGAGATCATCAGAGGTGTAGCAAAGGCTGAACCACTGTAGAGACCAGACTGAGAAGGTCTGGACATGTCCAGAGGAGGGACACTGAAGATATTCATAGAAGGAAGTCAGACATGCAGCTGCCAGGAAAAATGGACGCAGTTAGAGAGGACATGGAGGACAGAGGACACAGTACAGAGCAGGATGACTCGCTGTGGTCCCTGGAGAGGGAACAACTGAAAGAAGAAGAAGAAGAAGAAGATGTTCAGCTGAACTTTACTCTCTGTCCCTGTTGTGGAAATACTTATTAAAAGACAGAAACACGTGAATAAAAAAGAAGATGCACTTCACAGAGTGGTCATCGTGTGATTTATTAAGATGCATAAATAGTCACAACGTGAATAGGTCTGAGCCAGGATCTGACCATGTCACAACTGAACAACAACGTTTCAGGAAGTCAGTTTACATAAGAGGCGGAGCAGTGTTMAACCAATGAGGAAACAACAAGTTTCACAGTAACTTTGTATGGAGAAGGACACAGAAAAGACAGTGATGCCTCAGAATCATGAGGACAGATGATGACAAATCGTTATCAAAAAGATACAAATAGGATGTCAAGACAGTTTGAACTTAATCAGCAGAAAGGTATAAWTATTTTCCAGGACAGTCCCCATGCTGAGTGTGTCTTTGTCCTGATAAAGGTGGAGCTGGTGGGTCACGGCCCMCTGCAGTGGGAGCCAGCACAGCCTAGTGGGCTGAAGATCCTCCTGCCTCAGCT